GAAACAAGTCCATTTCCCTTGAAACCCAGTGGGCGAAGCTGAGATGTTTAAACAAAGGCAGAGAAACATATATGATAGGTGAAATCTGCCAGGATAATAATTGTCTTCTGTTAGGGAAAAAAGTGGCTTGAATAAGGAAGACATAACTTTAAGGTTAAGAAAGAAGTGAATCACAGGTAGAGCCCAATCGTTGGGTGATAGACCTATCTCTTCTCAAACCATGGCACTCTGGCTGATGGAGAGTTTTTAGTTGAGAGGGATTAAATAATTAAAAACACAGGCAAATGGGTTTGTGGTGTCATGTAAATCACCTTAATTTGTTTACTTAGTGTAGAGGTGGAAGATAAGATACCACACACTTTTTAGATAGGCTGCTTCATAGTGCTAATGGGGAGGGAACAGTTGTGTTCCATGTTGCTTCTGTAGCATTGGGATGGATTATTGGTCTCTCCTGGAAGAGGAGGCCAATTGCCTTTCTAATTGTAGGCAATTAGAAACCAGAGCAAATACCAGAACTGCTAAGGTGGTCTATTCTGTTCTATCCAGGGCCAGCAGACAGAGTTCATAGGTTTCACTGCATGGATAACATGGCGGTGACAGAGAAATAAGTCTACATTTGTTAGATATACTTTTGGGGATCCAATGAAGTTAATTAAAAGATTTAAAGCAAAAGGAAGTAATTAAGTTGTGGGATTGATTATTACCACTAGATCCGCTTTCACTACTCTCATAGAAGTTCTATATCAGGGCTGTCAATACATCACACACTGGCCACACTGATGTTTGGTTTAACAAAGGGGAAAAGTTCCCGACATGTCATGTGATGCTACCATGATGATGTGAGTTTGACACCCCTGCTCTATATGGTGTAGCACCAGGATATCTTAGGAACTGCCTTTTTCAAAATGTCTCAATTTTCTCATTATATCAAAAGAGACCATGATCAAGTTGCTGCTCCCATGTGAAATGAGGGAGGGCAAGAAGACAAGTATTTCGGGTGATAGCATCAACTGTATGGAATACCTTCACTATGAAGGCAAGCTTTGATTATTATTACTTTTTTATCCTGGCTTTGGGGAAGCTTCTGAAAATTTTCTGTTTCAATGGATATTTGTTACTGGGGAACAACAGAGGGGGATGAATATGACCTCAGTCTATGGGAAACCTGGAGTCACTTTTACAATGGCACGATTCATGTAACAAATATGCTTAATATCTGCTACAAAAAGGTCGTGATTTACTTAATGATTGCCTTGCTAGCAATGGAAATTCTAGTCCCAATTTTGGTTGTAAATGGATGGCTTCCTATTGTTGATGATTGGGATTGTTTTTAAATATTATTCGTTGAACTCCGGGTGGCTTATCAGGATAGTACAAGCAGCAATTCTGGAAAATTCCAAGAGACTCTGAAATGGGTGGTAGATAACTGACCACCACAAAACCCTGATCTTGGATAATATATTATGTAAACTAGCCATCAGTCCATCAGGGGCTAGGTAGATTGAATCTACCAAGGTTTTGAAAAAAAAATCATGTGATACAATTAAAATTCAGAGAAATTAATCACTAACAATCTGCAGGGCCTGGGTTTTACCTTCATACCACATTATCTACTTTTTCAAGCTTCTAATTGGATTGTTTCTAAGATGTTGTTTCCTACAACATCTGATTAACAATCTTTGTATGCAGAACTATAAGACCATAAAACCAACTATAATCTCTGCATTTAGGAAAATAACTGTTTTTTTTAACCTAGCTCTTTATATTGAAAACATTAGCAGTTATTTCAGAATCTGGGATTTTGCTTTCTATAAAATACCAAATCTCACAATGAACGTGCTGCTCAAAGAGGAATATCTCAGAAACAAGTCACCCATTAGTGAAGTTAACAAGTGTGTTTTTCTACTGATAAGTTTATCACTTAGTTACACATTGGTAAGCTTCAGAAGAAAAAAATCTAGTTCTGCCCAGATGCACTCTATGAATGTCCTGTGATCAAAATCAAGGAATTTCTACATCAGGAAAAAGGTATTATTCACTCAGAGCTTTCTCAGTGCCTTGAATATTCTGGCCACATAATGTCATTTTTGTTATATAGATATGTGGAGTCAGCTGATGAGTCTGAATGTGAGACACATTTGCATCTTATAACTGTTTGCTAGGCTTTTACTTAGAAAATACTTTAAAGAAAAGTACGATGCATGATGATGTCATAACACAAGCCCCACCCCTTGTCTGCTTGCATGCAATTTTTTTTGCAAGTGAAAAAAAGGTGACATTTGTGTTCAGATGTGGTCATCATTTGTTCTGCTTGCCACATCCCTACCACCATCAGCAACAACAATCCCATACTGGTAGTCCTCAATTTAAAACAGTTCATTTAGTGAGTGTATGAAATTACATGGCACTGAAAAAAAAGTGACTTATGACCATTTTTCACACAATGGTTGCAGCATCCCCATGGTCACATGATCAAAATTCAGACGCTTGGCAATGGACTCACATTTATGACAGCGGTATCACCTTTTGTGACTTTCTAACAAGCAAAGTCAATCAGAAAGCCAGATTCAATTAACAACTGTGTTACTAATTTAATAATTGTAGTGACTCACTTAAAGAGCAGCAAGAAAGGTAATAAAATGGGCTAAAACTTATTTAACAAATGTCTCACTTAGCAACATAAAATTAGGGCTCAGTTATGGTCATAGGTGGATGTACGTGTGTGTGCGTGTGTGTGTGTGTGTGTGTGTGTGTGTGTGTGCGTGCATGCATTTTTTTTCTTTTTCAATGGGTGGTTTATAATAGAGACATTATAACAAAGGCTTTAAATTGGGACAGGAAATCCATACCCTGCACAAGCCGGAATCCCTACCATTGCTGAAAGCAGTGGCAATATTCATTATTGCAAAATTACATTGACTTAATCAAAACACTGCTACAACATAATATGGGAATGCCCCCTCTCTTCCCTCTCCCTCTCTCTCTCTCCCCCCCGTCTGTCTCTCTCTTCTCTCTCTCTGTCTGTCTGTCTCTGTCTGTCTGTCTTTCTGTTTGTGTCTGCCTGCCTGCCTGCCTGCCTGTCTGTCTGTCTGTCTCTCTCTCTCTCTGTGATCATTCCCATTAATCATTCTGTTGAAATGGAAAAACTGCCAGGTTGGTACTTATGCAAATGTCACAAAGACACCCCCCCCTCCTGATTTTTTTAGTTGTTTCTATCACAGGAAATAACACTTCTGAAAAAAATGTTGATTTTACTCAGCTATAAACATCAGCAATGTGGTGGAACTGTTTCCCTAGACTGAACACCTTATTTGAAAAATTCTCTTCCAGATGCTACATTAAAAATAAAAGGGAGGCAGGCAGGGAGGACAATTTTCAAATCAACAAAGTTCCAGATCAAAATTAATAGGGAAAGAAAAAAAAGTGAACATTCAACATGTTTTGTGTGTGTGTGTGCGCGTGCGTGTGTATGATTTTAGCTACAAATGACAGAGGGACTAGTCTTCTGTGTCCCTGAAGTCCCTTAAGCCCTATTTAAATGTGGCTTCATGAAATGTGCAGGCAGGTTGCACAATGCCTGACTCACACCTAATTGAAGGTGGTATAGAGAAGCATTGCTTAAGTCCCCTTTCAAGGCCCTTTGAAAGATGTTGCCCAAGAGGGACAGCAGAGAGACCCAATGAGGAGGAGGAAAGTGCCATTCCCCAAGAAACCAATGGGAAAGGTGATGCTAAGAGGCCAAAGCAGAGGTTAAGCATTCATTGGGCAGGCTTGGATCTTTCTGGATTTGCTGAAACTCTGAGCACATGACACATCTCCTGCCTCCTTAGCCCTCCTCATGGGGCTCCTTTGGCCCAGCCACAAAGTGTTCCTTCAAAGGATAAGAACCGAGTGTCCCACAGATGAAGACCACTTACAAATTATTTTGGAATGCCAAAGGCATCACTGGTGCTCAAGCCCAATGGAAACGTCTCTGCTCTTCTCCATCTTTAGGCCAACTCTACTGCAGGCTTGCAAACTCTTCTATCCTGGAGGACATGAGTGGTTGAGTGATGCCTCTTACAAAGCCAAGTTGCTTCTCAGAATCTCACAAGCCTACCTTGAGTGCCACATGATTCTTGAACCAAATTGACCCAGAAACTAAAGGGGCTATGCAAAGAGGAGATTTGTGCAAGGAGGAGACTTTCAAGAAGAGATTGGACTGCCATTTGTCAGAAATGGTGTAGGGTCTCCCGCTTGGGCAGGGGTTGGACTAGATGACCTACAAGGTCCCTTCCAACTCTGTTTATGTGTTAAATCTGTTAAATCTGTTAAATCCATTAAATCTGTTAAATCCGTTAAATCTATTAAATCTGTTAAATCTGTTAAATCAATTATGCCAGTAATCTCAGCTCTCTCCAGCCTGCCCATTCAGAAAGTAATATGGTCTTGCACACTCTGACCTTGTGTTGGACAAATGTTTCAGTTTGAAGGAAAAGAAGTGATCAAAAGGAACATAAATGAAAAAGCCTGTTCCAGATCCTTAGTTTGCAAATTCAGCAGAGCACCACAGACACGAAACAGAATTATGCCAATTTACAAGACAAAGAATTTGGCTCATCTTAAGTACATTTTTAGCAAGATAATTTGATCTTATTCTTTCACACTATCTTGTTGCAATAGCTGTAATGCTACATAATTAGCTTACCCCTCTAGTATATATTACTCAGGTCCAACATGAAATGGTCCAGAAAGCAACATCTCAGAAATCCAGAAACTAAATAGTCAACCATGCATGTAATGATGAACTTAGAAACATGGTTGCTTGAGCAGTTAGGTGTTATCTATGGTGACCTTGGATGGAGAACAGTACAGTTCTGCCTATTTCTTCTGTGTCTATTAGTTCTTTCCAAAGAGTGGGGAAATTCCAAAGTAACAGACGGATTAAAAACACCATCACCACCATCACTACCATCATCATCATGGAAATGCCAAAGTGTAACAAGGAGTGAGGGAGTCTTTTAGATGAAGTATTCTCGTTTGCACTCGCTCACTGGGTTTTGTAAGTCAACCTCAGTCTTAAAAGAACGGTCAACGTGTTCTGGATACTCTTTTTCTTTCGTCTGGCTGTTCCGGTGAGTCTGTTTGTGCCGATAGAGGACTCTGCTCATAATGGCCACAATGCAAAAGATGATGAAGATCACAACTGCAATAACACCTGAGGTGCAAAAGACAAAATGTAAATATAAGGAGAAGTTCAAAGTGAGGTATGTGGCCTATTCAGCAGAATAGATTTCATTTTCTTGTGAAGTTCACTGTTGCTGCTCAAGTGAATTTTGTCGATAATTGTACAGGTTTGTTATACTTAACCTCAACCTTTTTCCTGATATCGAGAGAGAACCAGCCAAATTTGGCTGCACTATATTTCATGTTGTCTTACTTCAGCAAACACTGTTCGTGCACAGATTATTATTATGCAAGAGTTTACTGCTATTTCATTGCAGTAAACCTATTTAAGCAAGCCTATTGCTTAGGAAAATGGCAAGCTATTCTGCAGTTCCCTCATACTGCTTCTAAATACGATTTTGAGGGTGAGTAGAGGGTGAGACATCTGGAGGTAAGGGTGGTACTCATGCAGGACGAAGCAGAGGAGATCCATTGTGAAAATCTGCTCACATGATGTTGGGAATAGCCAATCCCTTCCTCTCAAATGAAGCCTAAATGAATATACTTTGTTACCAAGTTTCCATGATGTATAAGCATCAATCTGTCTACAAATAGAAGTTATCCATTGGTAAGAACTCTCAATTATCATAATTACTATTGAGGGGATTTAAAACATTCATAGTCTCAAGTCAATCTAGCCGAAACTGGATATTCATTTAATTGGTTATAGTACTAATTAAATTACTTTCTCTTTGGTACTCTAATTCTTGTTACATAATTATGAAGTTCAATGGGTCATAAAGTTTGAAAATACCTCACTGAATTGTGCAATGAGACAAAGAAGATGAATGACCCCAAATAAACACAGAAAACTGCTCATCTTTCAAAATTCTTTTTGGATCTATGCTGTAGAACACAAAACCAAATTAAGATATTTTCTAAGGCTCTGGACACAGTAGCAGTATATACCATTACAGGGCAACTACATTAGCTGGTGATTAGTTACAATCAGTTTTCAAATACATTTTCTTCTTAATAGTTCTGAGTTCCAACCCATCTCAGGGAAAGCAAGCTAAGATAAAAAGGACAGATCCTGCCAATAGTGTTTTGCTTTTCCATGGTCATCATTCTGGTGCTGCTAAAGATAAATTGTGGATGGATAAAGAAATCACTGGAACTAGCATATGCAATTGCATTTTCCATGGATTCCAGTAGAATTAAAATAGCACCAAACAAAAGCGAAAAAATCCCTATTAAAAACTCAGAAATATTATTCTTTCCCTACTCTGCCTACATACAATTTTAAATCAGAAATATTGGATAATTGGGAAAGGCAAGAAAAAGTCATTTTAGCAGTTATACCCACTAAAGGAAAATGAGGGTTGAAGAATCACTAAGGCATATGACCCAATCCCTCAAGTTGCATAGGAATAGCAATAGCACTTAGACTTATATATGGCTTCATAGTGCTTTATAACCCTCTCTAAGCAGTTTACAAAGTCAGCAAATTTCCTCCAATAACCTGGGTTCTCACTTTATCAACCTCAGAAGGATGTAAAGCTGAGTCCACCCTAAGCCAGTCAAAATCTAACTCCTGGCAGTTGGCAGAATTAGCCTGCAATACTGCATTCTAGCCACTGCATCACCATGTGATGTTGATTGCTAAAACATTCGCTCAACTTACCTCCAATGAAGGCTGAATCGCTTCTGACAGCATTGCTGAGTGGTTCTTTATCATCGGCCTTCCCAAATGGATCTGCAATTCATAGGGAAAACCAAGGTAATGCGTATATCTTTAAGGCGCTGATCTTTTTTTGGGGGGGGGCTAAGACTCAATTTATAAGTAATTAGAAGCACTTTGAATTGTACCTGGAAGCCTATTGGCAACCATTGCAACTCACAGAACATGTGTTGTTTAGCACATGTGTCACATGTGCTAAACAACAGGCACCCACAACTGCCTGTACTTCTGCATTTTGTACCAGCTGAGCTTCTGAATAGTCTTCAGGGGCAGCCCCATATAGAGTGTATTGACTATTCCAATTGGGAAGTGTGGAAGGTATAAATGTGTAGCCTTCAGGTATCTATAAACATATCCATCCATTTATTAAACAAGAAAGAAACATAATGCAAGCCTCTCTCTCTCTTTCTCCCTCCCTCTCCATCTCTCCTTCCTTCCTTCCTTCCTTCCTTCCTTCCTTCCTTCCTTCCTTCCTTCCTTCCTTCCTTCCTTCCTTTTGTTGCCTTTTATCAATTACCTGTCTTATATATCTAGTTATAATCTTCTATAAGCTGATGATCTCCAGCTGGGCTGATAGATATTGACATTCTCTGCCCATCCATCAAAGTTTTCCCATTTTTAAAGAAAGTTATAGATTCTGTCAGGTAGGATACTACCCATAGTTATACCTATTACCCATTTATTATTCCCTACTATCAGTAAGAATGTTTTGAACACATGTCAACCAGTGTGTCACAAGAACAACCAAAGCTTGCTTTAATTAAATCATAGTATGCAAGTTAGGATCTTTGATCTGAACAAGCCAACATACTGTTGCATCTGGCTTGCATAAAACCTGGAATTTAATTTTATTTAAAACTAAATAAACAATAGAGCTGATATGATTATAGTTAAATTTAAATGAAATAAAATTTTAGTTGTTTGCTCTGCCTTTTTTTCTTTTCCATCATATAAAAAACTACAGGTGATGGCACTTCTTATAAGGTTCCTGGGAGCCACCCCAAAGCCTGGTGCCTCTGATTATATATTATTAAATTAATAAATCAATATTAGAATTAACTATTGCCTTCTGGTTATTTTTAACTATTTTTTTAATGTAGAGGTTAATTTAAATTTTATATATTGTATTAGAAAATGGTTCTTTTTAAAGTGAGGAAATAACATTAAAAATGAAAGGAAAACTATGTTTCTGCAATCAGATGTATGCATGAAGAGACTGAACATCTTTTTACCCAGAGGCATAAGTAGTAAATAGAATTCATTTCAGATTGATAGATGAAAACCCATGACAGTAAATTTCCCTTTTAGTCTCTTTTGCACTCCGCAGAATCAGGAGGTGGAGAAATGTTGACCAGTGCATATTTTCCACTGCAGAGATTCCCCGCTCCATCCCTCCCCCAAAAGCAACAACAAAAATCATGGTTATATTTTGCACAGAAATGAATACAAACCCTAACTTTTCTATGCATGTATCTTTGGTGCTTCACTCTGGAACTTGTCTCATATTAGTCAAGTGAATTACACAGAGATAATGATGATAATGCATTTCAAAATACCCCCAAATGTAATCAGAGTATCCAAAGGTGGCTTGGGACCATCAGAAATGCAAGTTGAAGCATCCAAGTTTTGCTGATTTTCCACAAACTTTGGCATTTTTCCACATGTTGCCTCTATTGATCTGGAAAGCTTCTCAACCATGACTGTAACTTTGTGTGGATTAGTATCTGCCTCAGTCTTTTCTAGGGAGAGTCTGTCAGTTTCATTGCAACTTGCCCAGAATGAAAACTAAGATTCTGAGCCTCAGGAGAAAACGATGCTTTTCAGATCCAGGGACCACAAAAAAACAACAACAGATTTTTAATAAAGTTCATTCAGAATGAAACACCTCAGTTAAATACACATTTGGCAACAAATAACATTTGCCCAATTAATGCACATTAATGTTTGCTAAGAAATCCACACAAAATATTGATAATTGCTTACAAATAGAATATTTGGTCTCCCTCTATCTCTATCTCTCTATCTCTCTGCCTTTCTCTTTCTCATATACACATACATGCACAAGCACAAAAAGAAAGAAAGAGAGCAAAGACACACACAGAGAGAGGCAGAGATAAAACAAAATAAAGTCAAGATAGCCTATTTTTAGGTTTATTTGTTTATACTTCTTATATCCTGGCAGGTTATTAAAAATTTCATGGGCCCTCCATTGATAATAGTTGCTTACACCTATTCTAGAGCATTAACAAATAAGACTAGATTTGCATGGAGAAAGAGTACCCTCACATCTTTTTACCCATCCCTAGAAAAACCACTTAAGGTGCTGCCATTCTGCATTAGTAAGAACTGCTTTCACTGTCAGTAACAGCTATGACAAGGCAATCTCATAACTACAAAAAAGAGAGAAAGCACACATAAATTGGAACTCGTTCAACACAAGGAGCTTATAATAATTTGTTTCTATTTTTTGTTAACAGATTCTAGTGTTTTCTTCATAATATCTCAGACACAGTGAATGGGATGGAATGGTGATTTGGAGGAAATCCAAACAGTTTTAGAACAAAAGAAACAAGGCAATAATGTTGAATCATAATTAAATAGGAAATAAACAACAAAATCATTTCAGGACATATCCTTCCAGTTTATTGGAAGCCGCAAGAGTTTGTTGGGATATGTAATTCACTCTTCTTTATGCTGAAGTAGGTTTTGTAATGTAGAATGCATTTTTGGGGTGGGATATGAACATATTATTCTTTTATATGAAAATGAATGCTGGTATAATTTATACTAAATTATATTTCATTTTAATGTATTATGGCCCCTCACTTTGACTCCAGAAGACTCAGAGCCAAACCCATATAAAGACAAAAATATGATAGACTGCCACAGTGACACTATTCCTATGCCTGGGAAATCAATATCCTTTGGGGGAAAATGATCTGAAAGCCACATGGGTATGTGTTTTTGTACTGTGTTTGTATGTATGTGCACTTCCAACTAACCCTAGCTTTACAATGTGCTCTCTCCTTTCCAACATACAAAACACTTAAGATGCCCAAGGGAGCATTTAATTATCACAAGTGGGAAATGAACTGCTTAGTTCACGATCAGGGTATAAAGTGTCTCTCCTTAAACCAGAGAAGATAAGAGACAAACATAAAACAACAGCTTCTGCCAGCCTAGGCATTCCCTGATTATCTGAGGTGATAAAGTTCAAGCAACAAATTCATTATACCTAGTGATTATGCATGTATGTATGTATGTATGTATGTATGTATGTATGTATGTATGTATGTATACTTTCTCTTTCTAAATAACTTAGTCAGAGCCTGTCAGATGATGACAGACCCAAACAGGTTTGTAGGGATCAATTTCTTGTAGGTTAGGATTCCCCAATTCTCAGGCCTTGGCTCAATACTAGGCTGCAACCCATTCAGAACTGGGCCCTGGAAGCAGCAGGGGCATATTCCTGTGCAACTTTACTTGTACAAGCTTGTACAAATGGAACTGCATATGTGTGCATTTGCACACTGCTCACGTGGAACCATCCCCTTTTCCGCACTGGTCTACAAAACCAGAGAGATTGGGGACTACTGTTGTAGGGAAACTAAACCCATAATTATTAACTCCCCCTTTTCTACACTTCTATGGAAACCACTCATTCATTCTCTGGCAAGCTGATTTTTGGGGAAAAAAACCAAAACCCTGATTTTAAATAAGCTGGGAATTCAGTTAACTGTGTTTAATAATTCTTCCACTTGCTCATCAAAAATGTATTTTTTGTTTTCTGTAATTAAACCCTGATGAAACTACTATGTTACTAAGCAAATTTCCTTTGTGCGATGTCAACCTCCAGCATTTAAACTCTATTCATGTAGCTTTACTGAGTCAAAAGTACAGATTTCATGGCCTGCTTATATTAGCAAAAAACAAACAAACTACAAATAAGATCAAGGTCAATGATAATATTATTGTAGGGAATATATTGGCATGGCATATTATTAATGTTATCTTGTGTGGTTATTGTATACATTGTAAAAAAAATACTATGAGTAATATCCAGTTTACTTTGCATGCAGCTCACTCCCACTCAATCCCTTTATCCAGATCACAGCAATTGTGTCCAGTACTCAGGTCAGCTAGCAAAGATATGGCTTGATATCATTTAGTTAAATATCAACAGAGATCAAAATGGATAAAGGCAAAGAAGAGAGACAGAGATGAATAATAGACAAGAGCTAAAAGAACTGTTCAGTTAATACCAACAATCTACATTTCTAATATTTATATATCAAGAGGCACAGAACTTTCCAGATGCATTGGAAACCATGCTGTGGGTAATCAGCATAGCTAATTACTTATCCCTTCCTTAATTTATTTTACATCACATCACAAATATAGAAAATAAAGAATACCGGGTCATCTCTCCTGTATTTGTAGAAACAGGGAGGTGAACGGGGATAATGTCAACATAATTAAGATACCATATTGCATCTTATTTGAATATTTCCTAGAAGCTCTTGAATACAACAACTTATAAATCTATAAAAATAAAAACATATTCCATTTTTATACATACCATATTTCCATCATCTACTACTTAAAGTAAGCAACAAAATAAGAAATATTACTAAACTAGTTACCTGTAAACTGTAAACCTGCTGAACATACCTGAGGAAGAGTAAATGGAAGTTGCTGTATTTGCATCTACTTCAACCAATGACCTGCAGTTTGATTCAGACAATGAACCCAGGACTGTCACTGGTGCGAGGTTGGGGTGTCTTAAAGCAGCTTTCAATGGAGCAATATGGTTATATTGCATAGATGACATGCATCCAATGAATCCAAAGGAGTTTGCCTTGGAGATTTCCAGATCCAGGCCCTGACTATCTGTAAAACACAAAGCAAATAGGAGCTTCTTCATTTATACTGTAATTTCATATGGACATTAAATGACAGCTGACATTATTTCCCACCTATTTAACTACAGTATTCATTTAATTATTTCTGAACAATTCATGTAATGCAATCTTCAATCAGTGGTTGGAAACTTGCTATATTATTATTTGCCTATTTGTCCCCACCTACCTGTATGATACTAGAACAATTTTTAATGAATTCCAAAAAAAGGAAATCTAGATTTAGGTTTCAGATTTAGGGAACATGCTTACTCCAAGTCTGTGAAATGATTTGCTTAGTAGGTTTGAGGTGCTGCAAACATGACAGAGATAATCTGCATATAATACAAATAATATGTTTTAAAATACTGATTTTGAGACATATGTGATGTACTGTGTTGAGGGGAGAACACTGAGAAGAGGAACCCCCCCCCCCAAACACATTATTAAGTATTGTGAATTCTAGATATTATGTTTTTCTTGGTATTTCTTGACTTCGAACTAAAGACATTACGGTTATGATAATTTTGGCTTTTGCAAAATTTATTTATGACTTCAACAGAACAGAGTGGTGCAGTGGCTAGAATGCAGTATTGTAGGTTAATTCTGCCAAGTGCCAGGAATTCAATTCTGAATGGCTCAAGGTGGACTCAGCCTTCCATTCTTCTGAGGTTGGTAAAGTGAGGACCCAGATTGTTGGGGGCAATTTGCTGACTCTGTAAAGAGGGCTTAGAGAGGGCTGTGAAGTGGCATATAAGTCCAAGTGCTATTGCCATCTGGGTCATTCAGGCTATGCTCCTGGTCCAGCAATTATGCCTGTCTCAGCAGTTTGAGACATAAAGAAAAGGGGAAGGAAACCCACATTTCTATAAAAATCATTGGAAAAGACAATACAGTTTATAAATCATGCAGCAAAGCTCAAAACACACTGTCCAATTATCAAAATAAATCTGCTGTTCCACAGTTTTATAAATATTTGGCAAGACAACACAATTATCACTCTAAACTAAAGCTACTGATCATTTATTTCACAATTTGGGTTTTTAATAATAAGTTTCCTGTAGGTCATATCCTGTGGTTTCCTGTGGGTTTATATAACTCAAGTTCAGCAGCTCAAGAATCATGGTGCTACAAAATAATATCACTAACGAAGTGGGGAAGTTCTCACCTCCTAAATGTCAAGGTTTTTTAAAATTATACCTAGTTGTAGGAAGTGAGCATCATGATTTAGAGAAGCATTCAATATTTGTATCCAGTTCATATTATCCATAGGTAAGCTTGCTGACTTTGTTGTGCTTTGGAAATCAAGCTACATCACTATTGGGGACTGCCATTCTGAAAGCCCGCAAAGAATACACTGTATGGAATACAGACAAAAAGTATATGTGCCTAAGTATCAACTTTATGTTATGCTACTTATTAAGCTAATATGTCATAATATGTAATTCTCTCTCCCTTTCTCCCTCTTCATCTCCCCCCCCCTCCTGCATTATAGTGTAGGATTTCTTTAAAATGCTGTAAAAACAACCAGGGAGAATTGTCCTATGGTCATGTGTTTCCTTGGCCCAAAGGTCAAAACTGCATCAGATGGAGTGTTAAGAACATGGAAAATGACTTTTCCATTTATAACCTATGGACTCTCTTTCCTTCTTGCTTGCATCAGGGTTATGGTACTATACAGAGAATTAATCACTTGTTCAGATTGCCAGTGTGCTCAGTGGTGTTTCAAAGTCAACATTATCACCTATGTGAAGTTCATTCAAGGACAATTTTATCACATAGCCTTTTATGTCTTGCTAGTGACCTGACAAGATCTATGTAACTTTACCTGAAACAAACATGATATCTCCCATAGCCTTTATATTCCTGTCTAGACATGAACCATGAAGCTAGTTTGCTTACTTTTCAGACCATCTTTGCATTTTGCAGAAAAAGAATTGAGGCCCCCTCTATGAGCAGAGAAGATTTTGCATAATAAAGGCAGCTGGCTAAAATGACTCTTTTACAGAAAGAATATTATAAAGGTTATATAAAAGAATTTATGAGAAAAATATTTTTCTCTCAACAATCAGATTAACATGGTTGAAGTTTCTCATATATTTTGATGGAAACTCCTTGTCAGCTCAGCAACATTGGCTTCTATGTATGCTTACAGATGGAACTAAAAGTTTGATTGCATTTGATATACACACTCCAAAATAAATTTTGATTGTGGTGTCTGCCTTGCCAGCAGAGACGTCTTTTCGTTCTTCAGCAGCAGATAGGAGAGTTCTGCCCTAACTCTAACCTAGCTATCCAGGCTAGGATAAAAATAAAAGTAACTTTTCCAAGCTAAATCCAAGAAATAAAAGCAACTTTTCTTTGAGCAAATCTTTATTTTTCTGTTGAAAAAAATTTAGGAGAACGGAATGGTCTAGAAAAATAATTGCCTGTCTACCAGCCCAAGTTATGTATCTGTGCCTGTGGTCCATGCAGGAAACATAAAAACATTGGATTTTAGAGGCTTATAAATTGAAATAAATGAATTCATTAAAAAAGAAACTTTAAATAAATGTATTGATTGCAAATTGCCATTTAAGTCCATTTATTCCACCACTTGCTGAGGCATGCAAGGTGGAAGCCTGGAGGTGGAGGTGCAGAACAAGGTGGAGAAGTTGGGTCTTTGTATGACATAAAGCCAGGTTATTTGTGGGGCCATCTTTAGCCCACTGCTTCTGCTTGGCATACAAGGTTTAGCATGGTCCAAGGGCAAGTTTCCTCTATTAAACAATGTCATCAGATTGGACTCAGTGTTTTCTCTAAGGAAGCCTTGTGGAACTGTATTCCTTCAGCGCCCCTTATGGACCTTTGGACCAAGAGCTTAGGAGTGTCCTATTATTGATGTGATTTTCTATGATGGAATTTACCCAGGGCCTCATTGGTTGCTTTCAATTATTGAGTTTTAATTTTTGTATCCTGCCCAGAGTCACTGCTATGAGAGGGGAAGCCATATTTATTATTCAAATAAATTTTTTTTTTTAAAAAAAATTCAAAATCCATCTGCTGCTTGGGCTTAATGGTTTGATAACTCCTGTTGCCACCACCTATCTTTCAAAAAACAAACAAACAAACCCGACCTTACCTAACTCTAGCATGTGTACAAGATAAGATTCTCATGCCTAATTTGCCTTTCTCTTGATTAAAAGATCAAAACAAAACAGAGCTCTGTTTTGTTGGGCTCTGTGGTATAGAAGTATAACAGCTAGTAGATTCAGACCTTCCTTTGCCTTTGGCAAAATGCATTAAGAGGAAAACAAATCTTTATTAAAGAAACTCCGTCCCATTTAAACTTTATTGAAATGGATAGATTCGACATTGAAAAAGATAAATTGGTATCTTGCTTTCTTGATGTCCACAGAAATACAAATCAGTCACAAAACAAAACAACATCCTAAAGAAAACATAGTGCTCTGGACTGAGCATAGGATTGCACTCATTTGCTAGAAACTGCTCTTTACAGGACTCTGTGGGAAGATGCTGAAGACACATTAAAGTTTTAAAGATTAGAAAACATTCTCCAATGTGGCCTATAAGTCATATTGGATGACTTTAACACTGTTCCTTAACTTGTACAGAGAAATAAGAACCCGAGACAATAAGAATCTTAGCACGACACAAAAAACCAATAATAGTATAAATTTCTACTGATATTTTGCCCTTTTCTTCAAAAACACTCTTTTTTAAAAAAATAACAAAAGTTCTCCTGCCTCATTTATTCAGACTTCTCCCAGATTCTTGGAAACCTATCAGGGACTATGGGGAACTGTGATAAGTCTGTGCTTTCCCCAATTATTTCAAACTTATCCTGAACATCTGGGTTATCTTTGTGTGGCACAGAATATCTCTTCCTTGTAGATAGATGAATAAAAAGATAGATAGGTAGATTTTATAGATAGATTTTATAGATAGATAGATAGATAGATAGATAGATAGATAGATAGATAGATAGAGGCAGGCAGGCTAGATTTATCATAATTTAGGAAAGATTTGTAACATTTCTCATTTTCCACATTCAGATTAACACTATATATATTTAAACTGAAAAGTACTGTAAATCTGATTTAGTGTTATGTCACATTGTTAGAACTTTCAGGAATTCCAAACCTATTTAGATGTTATATTATTTTGAGCCTTTGCTATGTGAACACAGAAAAGCAGCATCTTCAATGATGTGATTCACACAAGGTCAATTTTATAGAGACATCTGTGCATTAGTATAGATGTCTTTAAGCATAAAAACCACTGTGCCTATAATTGTTAGTTCCTAAATGAGTCATAGTCCTAAACATGAGATGTCCTGGTTTGTAAGGAAGTCATTGTATGTACAAATATATACGAGAAGTCTATGGAGATTCTCAATCATTTAAGTCATGGTTATCCCAATTGTGCTTTTTCTGGTTTTTCTTTGAAGACGTTAGGCTTCTCATTCTTGGATGAGAAGCGAAATGTCTTCAAAGAAAAACTGGAAAGCCCAGTTGCCTCTTGAAAAAGCATCTTTGGGATGTATAAAAGAAAGCTTCCTTTCTGCAGATATACATGCTGAATGCACTGAGAATATTTAAGTAAGTTCAACATCCTAAATTAGGCTCAGAAGTGAACTGATAACCTGAAGTTCTTTCAGAATTGATGGAATATATTCCCATTATGGAAAAAAAACCCACAGAGCTGAAGTTTCGAAAGAACTTTTACAAAAGTCAGATGTATAACACAATTTTAAGACAATCAGGGCATGGATAACCAGGCTTTCCTATCCAGAGCTAATCAAATGAACTACAATTTATCAATTTTTTAAAAGCCATTCAGGCCACTTTTGGAGTATGTCGATTCAAAAATGAGATATACACAATTTTCTTGGATGAGAAAAATGCCTTCATTTTGTTCTGATTTAATGTCAGGTTACTGGCATATATTCAACCCATTTTTGATGCAGGAGAATTTTTAACACCTCCACTG